TTGATTTAAAAATAGATTTGAGTTTAAATTTTAGATAGATCAAATAATATTCTTATAATTATGTTCAAAATATACAAAAAAAGTCTCGACAATATCCCAATTATTACCTTTATAAATAAAAAAATTCTTCTTTAAAATTCAATTATTTTCAAAACTTTTAAAAAAGTACTTGTCAAAATTTCAATTATTTTCAAAAAATTCCTTCATTTCAATGATTTTCAATATCTTCTATTTTAATAAAATTACCCAAAAAAAATCAAATATTAAAAAACAATTTTATAATAAAGCTCAAACATTTAATTATTTTCATAAATAATAAAAATCCCACAACAATTCAAATATTTATACAAATTTTTTATAACTTTCTTCTCAATAATTCAATTATTTTCAAAAATAATAAAACTCTTCGCAGAATTTCAATTATTTTTAATACAATTTTAATCGAATTTCTTGAAAAATGTAACTATTCTAAAAAATTTTATTTAAATTCATAAAAAGAATTCAATTATTCAATAAATAATTTACTTTTTTATTGAAATAATTGAATTCTCGTAGAATTTTCTAATAAAAATTTATTTGAAAATAGATTTGAGTAAAAATTTTAGATTATAATTGAATATATTAAAAGCATTAGAGCGTGAATTTTAAGAAATAATTGAATTTTGAAAAGTTTCAAATTAAAATCTTTGAAAATCTGAATTTTTCATATTTTTAACTAACAATTCTGTGGAATTGATTTTTTTTTTTGAGAAAGTTTAATTGCGGATTTTTTTTCAAATTATTTGCAGTTTTCATTTTATAATGTATATTTAATTAAAGAATTGACAAATAATTGAAATTTTGTAAAATAGAATTCTAAACCAATGAATTTGAAAATTCTCAAAGAACTTTTTCAAAAATTATTAAAAATAATGCATTTATAGAAAAATTTTAGTTTAAAAACACAAAAAAAATTTAATTTTGCAAAAGTTACAAATTATTGCAGAAATTCAATTATTTTCAAGAGTAATAATAATCCTCGCAAAAATGAAATATTGTTTAAAGATAATAAAATCCTTCTTAGCAATTAAATTATTTTCACAGATAATAAAACTCATTGCTGAATTTCAATTATTTTTAATACAATTTTAATTGAATTTCTCGAAAAATATAATTATTCTTAAAAATTTTATTAAAATTCGTCGAAAGATTTCAATTATTTAAAAATTTGTTTGTTAAAATTCTTTGTGAAAGTTGAATTTTAAGAAACATTCAATTGTTAAATAAATTATTTATTTTTGTATTTAAATAATTGAATTCTCTTAGAACTTTCTAACAAAAATTGATTTAAAAATGAATTTCAGTTAAATTTTTAGATAATAATTGAATATTAAAAGCAATATAGCGTGAAGTTTTAGAAATAATTGAATTTTGAAATTTATTTCTTTGAAAAAGTTAAATTGAATTTTTGTAATATTATTTTAAGTTTTTATTTTCTAATATTAATTGAAGAATTTACGAATTATTTAAATTTCGTAAAATTGTATATTGTAAACTAATGCGGATTTGAAAATTGTCAAAGAACTTTATCTAAAATTAATAAAAAATAATCGATATTAATAATTTAAAGAAGAATTTTAGTTAAAAATTCTTGAAAATTTGTTTTATCACTCGATCATCTTTAATTATTATAAAACATGAAGAAACCGATTACTCCGAGTCGAAGACTCGGAGTTATGAAAAATTAAAAAAAGAATAAAAATTGAAAAATTTAATTTATTCTTTTAAGTAAAATGTTCTCTTTTTTTACTTTTGTTTATCCTTTTTTATCTTTTTGTCAATAATCGATCTGTAATGTTTCATTCTTGGTCTGTAAAGTCCGTATTTTTAAATACTTTCACTGGTTCGAGCCCTGATGGGAAAAAATAGTTTTTGAATATAACATCAAAAATTTTTTGAATTTTTGAGAAAATGCTTCTAAAGTATATATGCGAATTCTATTTTTGAAAATTGAAACTGTGTGACTGGATTTCGTGTGTCCTATTTTCGAATGCATATATAAATGTCTGGTCTAGGGAGTCTAAATGTTTTGGCATGAGCATCGGTATAGTTTGCAGTTCTGTTCATATGACATAAAGCGAATCGGTGTGTTCGCATCTCCAATGAACCGATTCAGAGGAGAAAACGCAAATATAAACGGACTATGACTTTGTAGCTCGCGGGGCAAATCTAACAAGTAAATCCACTTCGGGTGACACATTCAGTTCCGCTCTCCTCCTAACGCTTCTCTATCATATCTTATGGCATCATCAGTTTTCCAGTTTAACCTTGTTTATTCGCTTCAACGAAACTCCATATTGTCTCCTCCTATCTCAAAACACCCTCAACATATAACTTTCATAATATAAAATCCGCAAAAAATTTGTTTCTCCCGCTTATTTATATACCTATAGAGATTTCACAGGTAAATCACATGCCTAAAAACTTTGAGCCAAATCGGTAACTTTTCATGGAAAATTTTGCGACTTACTCGTAGAATTCCCCTACCTGCATCTAATTGAGTTTTTTCAAGGCAAAATAGATTTTTTTCTCCGCAAGAAGGAAAAAGTCGTTTCTGAATTTATAGAGATTGTACACGCGAAACGTAATTTAGGTATACAGAGTTCTGTATTAGGAACAGTAAAAAAATTACAACTCCGGAAAAGAGAGTGCAATAAAATGAGTCATCTACTAGGTCGTGAATGCTTTGTTGCATAAAAAAAATCATTTCGCCACCCTTGTTTGAATTTCTTTTCCTTGCAAGTGAAAGAACCTTATTTCGCAGTCTAATATCAGTCCAATACGTTCAGCGTCACTAATTCCCCCTTTACGACTCAGCGAGCTTCTTCGGTTTCATTTCGCTCTACTATATATACATATATTGGGCGGCACGGAAAACTTTTGTAATTTATTAAGTATATACGACATTTGGACGCATCAATGAATTACGAAAAGCATTTTAGTTAAGCAACTCCGAAAGGGCAATCATTCGATCGATGAAACAGTCAAATCGTTCCGTTGGGTCAAACGCGCCACACAGACAATCTAATTCCAACCCCAGCGAATGCAAATGGAAACCCCATAACTAGCGGTGCCAGCCCTTGACACTCACCCTTATAAGAGACCAAAAAGACTTTTGCGCCTCGCTCTTAAATTAACCCCCGTGGATTCGAGAGGGTCTTCCCGCGTCGCGATCGGGAAATGGAAAATGGGGCACAAAAGAGACCTTTTCGGAGAGGGTGTGTGTGTGTGCGACGGCAAGCAGTTATAATTGCAACGAGACGTAATTAGTTTTGGAAATTTAATTATTTCCGGGGGAATGGAATGTGAGAGCGATAAAATGTTTCGCGTATGGGCTACAGGACATATCGCTCTCATTCGCGCGCTATACACTTTGCAAAAAGAGTAATTGGTGCCACTCTGCCATGGATATATTATGCTGAAACTCTCGGCTAACACTTTAATCGTCACCGTCGTTCTCATCGTAAAAAATATATCGCCTCATTAGGTGACACCTTATCGCCATTTAACTGTTTAACAAAATTATATCTAAATATTCATTTGGAAGCATTTTTTATTACTTCTAATTTATCACTATACATGCGCTCTTCTCTCGATGTAGGTATTCAATAAATGATTTCTTTTCTCAACCACTTCGTTGCAAATGTGTGGTTTGAAAAATTTATAAAACGGCTCTATTTACTGTTAATGTTTCAGTTTTCGTTCACAGGGGAAAAGAATATACTTTTCACCTCGATTTTGGGGTAAAAATATGAAACTGAAGTTACCAACGTTTGTTCGACGAAAAATATAATACGTAACAATTTCTATTTCCCCGCCTCAGATCCAATTTTTTTTTAACACTTTTATTATAAATAATAATGTTAGAAGGCATTAGAAATTATTTTCAAGTGGAACCAGGCCGGGGAGGGCAACGATTTTGACTTCTTTTTGTCACGGATTTTTCGAAAATTCAGAAATTTCGAAACAATTTCTATTTCCCCGCCTCAGATCCAATTTTTTTCCACATTTATTAAAAATACTAATGTTAGGAATCGTGAGAAATTATTTTCAACTGGAACCAGGTCGGGAACGGCAATGTTTCAAATATAGTTAAAATAAAAATATTAAGCCTAATTTTTTTTTTAAATACGTATAAAAACATAGGTTTCAAAAAATTACGGATTGGTTTTAAGAAATAATATTAATTTCGAAATAAATTAATAGAACAACATTCAGGTTAAACTGAAAAAAACAGATGTTGTTAATATAAAATTTGCGACGTTGTTGATAAAAAATAGTTATTGTATCCAAAAAATAAATGTTTCAAACGCCATATTTGACCCGACGTTCTTTTTTTTCAAAACTCCTGCTTAAAAATCAAATTCAGTGACATCCGGAAATCTGAGAATATACACTCACACTAAAACTTAATAATCAAATAAAGACGCTAAGAGTCCCCTCTCTCTATAATTTAAATTAACGAGTTTAATGCTTCCGTTGTAATTTATGATTCCAAGCAGGTCGTGCAGTATAAATAATTGTAAATATAGTTTTTTTTGAACGTGCTTTCTCGTTTATTGAGATAGTTTTTCCGAAGACGAATGGATTTCTAAAGAAGAGGAAGAGAAAAAAAAGGAATCTGGTTTTTATTCTTTCGTTTTCACTATGGCGCAGATTACATGCTTAGAAATTAATGTCTCCCCCGTGGTTTATACCACTGCTTTTTTATAATAGATGCGCTGAATTTCTAAAGGACTATATATGTATTTGACTCTCCGAAATTCATAGTCGATTCCCCCTCATTTCATTCACAATTTTTACATTCTCATTTTTTTTTAAAAAAAGCCACCTGAAGAACATTCTGTTTTTCAAAGAAAAAACCAGAATTTCACGTATGTATTAAACATTTTTTTTTTATTAATGCTCGAAGCAAACTGTAGCTCTTAAATAACGAGACGATTTTTTTTTCTGTATTGCAGCGATCATGGCTCACTTTTCATTCCTCGCTGCTTTCTTCTGGCTCAATACCATGTGCTTTAACATCTGGTGGACATTTAGGTAAGTTTTTTGTATTTGTAAAATCACATTTGATGAACAACTGAACGGCATCATTAATATATGACTTTTTTTTATTATCTAAAAAGATGATTCATTAAAAATGTTTAATTCTTTATTTTGAAAATAAACGGTTTGTTAAAGTTAATTTTTGAAAATATCCAGTTATTTGTTAGATTGATACAGATTGAGAGTTTTTCAGGATCAATTGACTGAAATAAAAGGAGATAAATGAGGCCGTTAGCGAAGAATTTCACGTGCACTTATCTTTTTTAGCGTCTTTCAGCAAGACATTTTCTAATTAGAAAGAACGATCTTGAAACTCACGATATGTTCGTGCTGTAAGGGAAAATTATCCTTTAAGACGAATAAGTATTCAGTAATAGATCAGATGGTCGAGTATCTGTCAGAAGCAGGTTTCTCTCTTCCATCTCTTCTTCTTTTACACAAAATTGCCTTCTCGTCTTTCGTTTCAACAGGAGTGCGCTCGCGCGCACGAGTCTTTTTTAAAAACTTCAATTTAATTACCATCCATTGAAAACATGCCCCAATTATCAAGTCGCTACCCCGCAAAAGTCCATCGGATCAGAACAAGAAGTTGAGTTAGCAACCGATATACTTGAAAACTACTCTCAAAGCTATTCGGAAGATTAAAAGGAAAAATATTATCGCAAGAAAGTAATTCTTATAAAAGTTCTGAAATTAATTTATCCTTTGAAGAAATATTGATTATCTAATAAGGAAACATAATTAAATCTATTTATACAGGCCTCAGATTGTATATGACTTTTTCGACTGATCTAAATATTATTATGCAAATTATTCTCATTTTTATTTATAAAAAAAACTAGAAAAATATTAATTGCTTAAAAATTTTTATTAAGAAGTAGGAAAATATACCCATTTTATATGCATCATTTTTATTTCTCAATAACAATATTGTTTGTAAACTTATTTTTTTCTGTTTCTTAATATTTTTGTAGAAAATTCTCATTTTCTATATAAGGACATAATTTGCATCAATTTTATTTCTTAATTTGAATTGTTTTAATAAAATTCAAAGTATTTTAAAAATAAATGAAAAAAATGTTTATGAATTATTATGAATTATGAATTATGTTTGTCAATTAGAAAATTTAATTGAAGATAAAACTGAATTTTTTTGAATTTTTAGAAAATAAAGGAAACAATTTTATTCAAAAAAATGTTGTTAAATTAATTTTCTCTTTTTTAAATATTTTAAATATTCAATTATAATAATTTTTCAATAGAAATTAATGTTTTCAAAAATTTTAAATTCAAACCTATTTGAAATTGAACAACTTTAAAAATATTTCTTCATATTTTATAATAATTAAAGAGGATCGAGTGTTAAAATCACTATTTTATATTATAAAAATATTGTTACTGTGAATTCAAAAAGGATTAAAAAATATTTTTTAGAAAAAGTGACCACCTACCTTTTTTTCTTTGAAATAATTTTAAATCAACGGTGGTAATAATGGAATATATCATGATCAAATGAAGACTATCAAATTTCTAAAAAAAAAACAACGAAGTTTACAACGTTTACGATTTACGACTGAAAAAAACATTTTCCTGAGAAAAAACAATCTTTTTTATTTACAAATTTTTCTATTCTAAATTATTGATCATGAAAGTATGTAAAACATTTTAAAACAAAAATTTATAAAATTTTTTTTTTTTATAAATTGTTGATTATAAACGTTGTGGTATTTATTAATGGAAAATACTATGAAAATTATAAATTTTTGGTGTCTTTTAAAAATCTCAAATTATTCACATTAAATTTTAATTTGATTAAATTAATAATTAATTTGTATCATTTTTTGTTTCTGACAATAATTGATTTTTTAGATGTATTTTCGTTGAATTTTTATAATTGACTTCTTTGAAAATTTTTATTGAAGAAAATAATTGTATTTTGGAAGAGTTACGGTTGAAATATTTAGAAATAATTGAATTCTTTGAAAAGCATTCACAAAACTAAATGTAAATAACTGATTTTGCTAAATGTTTTACATAGTTAACAATATTAAAAATAATCGAATTTTGAAAGCGAGAAAGTTGCAATTTATAAAAATAATTGAATTTCAGACTATTTTAATTGAATTTTTTTAATAACTGAATTCATGGAAAAGTTTCATTAAAAATTGTAAGAGTTGCAGATAAAATTTTTTGGGAATAATTAAATTATTTGAAAAGCATTATCAAAATCAATATAAATAATTGATTTTGAAAAATATTTTTGTTTATAATTATTGCAATTTTTAAAAAATTTGGTATTTAGGTTTTAAACTCAAATTGATGACAATTTAACATTTAAATAACAGTTAAAAATTGAATATAAATTTTTTTTGTAACAAAATATGGATTTTTAAATATTAATTTTAAGAAATTATTAAATTTTTAAATAATTTTAGTTAAAAACATTATTTTCATATTCTATTATTATCTAAAATTTAACCTAAAATTAATTTTCAAATCAATTTTTATTAGAAAATTCTACGAGAATTCAATTATTTAAATACAAAAATAAATAATTTATTGAATAATTGAATGTTCTTTTAAATTTTAATTCTTATGAATAATTTTATTCACAAACTTTTAAATAATTGAATTCTTTTGACGAATTTAAATAAAAATTTTTAGAATAGTTACATTTTTCAAGGAATTCGATTAAAACTGTATTCAAAATAATTGAAAATCTTCAATTTCCTGTAAAATTTTTATTATTTATGAAAATAATTAAATGTTTGTGTACAATTTTATTTAATTTTTTTTAAATAATTAATTTCCTTTGAGTAGTTTTATTAAAATAGTAGAGATATTAAAAATTAATTATTGAAATGAGGGAATTTTTTGAAAATAATTGAAATTTTGACAAGAATTTTATTAAAATTTTTGAAAACAATAATTGAATTTTAAAGAAGAATTTTATTACTTTTGAAAGTAATTAAATTTCTGCAATCATTTGTAACTTCTTCAAAATTCAATTTTTTTTAAGGTTTTTAACTAAAATTCTTCTATAAATCCATTATTTTTAATAATTAATTAAATATATTTTGACAAATTTAATTAATTTTAGAAGATTTCGAATTATTAAAATTTTTTAAAAATTTAAGATCTTTAAAATTTATAATTTATAAATTTTATTAAAATTCTTCGAAAGAATTCAATTATCAATTTATTTTAAAAATTCATGCTTATAATAATTAAATTTTTTTAAAGGAACGTGATTAAAATTATGTTAAAAATAATTAAAATAGTAAAACTTTACTACTTTTGGAAAAAATTGAATTTCCGCAATAATTTGTAACTTTTCCAAAATTAAATTTTTTTTTTGTGTTTTTAACTAAAATTTTTCTATAAATGCATTATTTTTAATAATTTTTGTAAAAGTTCTTTGAGAATTTTCAAATTCATTGTTTTACAATTCACTTTTACATAATTTCAATTACTCGTAAATTCTTCAATTAAATATACATTATAAATTTATAAAATAAAAACTTGAAATAATTCCAAAAAAAATCATGAATTAAATTTTCTCAAAAAAATTAATTCCACAGAATTGTTAATAAAAAATATGAAAAATTCAGATTTTCAAAAATTTTAATTTGAAACCTTTTGAAAATTCAATTATTTCTAAAACTTTACCCTCTAATGCTATTAGTATTCAATTGTAATCTAAAATTTTAACTCAAATCTACTTTCAAATCAATTTTTATTAGAAAATTCTTCGAGAATTCAATTATTTCAATACAAAAGTTAATTATTTTTACCTATTGAATAATTGAATGTTTCTTAAAATTTAATTCTTATAAAGAATTTTATTAACAAATTTTTAAATAATTAAATTCTTTTGTCGAATTTTATAAAAACTTGCATGAAAATAATTACTTTTTTCAAGAAATTCAATTAAGATTGTATGAAAAATAATTGAAATTCTGCGATGAGTTTTATTATTTCTGAAAATAATTGAATTATTGAGAAGAAAGTTATAAAAAATTTGTAAATATTTGAATTCTTGTGAAATTTTTATTATTTATGAAAATAATTAAATGTTTGAGTAGAATTTTATTAAAATTGTCTTTGAATAATTGAATTCTTTTGGGTAATTTTATTAAAATAGTAAATATTGAAAATATTATTGAATTGAGGAAAATTTTTCATAATAATTGAAATTTTAACAAGAATTTTATTAAAAGTTTTGTAAATAATTGAATTTTGAAGAAGAATTTTTTTATTTATAAAGATATTAATTGGGATTTTGTCGAGATTTTTCAAAAAATTTGAAACATAATTGAATTTTGTGATAAGAATTTTATTACTTTTGAAAATAATTGAATTTCCGCAATCATTTGTAACTTCTTCAAAATTCAATTATTTTAGTGTTTTTAATTAAAATTCTTCTATAAATTCAGTATTTTTAATAATTAATTAAATATATATTTTGACAAATTTAACTAATTTTGGAAGATTTTGAATTATTAAAATTTTTCAAAAATCTAAGTTCATCAGAATTTCTAATTAAATTCATTCAACATTGCAATTTTATAAAATTTTAAATTGAAACAATTTTCGTCATCTTTCATACACAAGGGTTTTTGGGGTCTAATTACGAATATGAAATCAGTTTTTCAAAATTCAAAATGGCGGATTCAATATGGCGGTTGAATTTTGCAAAATTGATTGAATTGATTTGAATTCTTGTTACTCGACGGTTTTTGGGGTCCAAGTAGTCATTTGCATTAGCTTAGCTTTATTTAATTTTCGATTTTGTAATTTTATTGTAAATATTGCCATAAACATTCTTGTTTTATTATTTTATTTATTTTTATTATTATTATTCAATTAAATAAAAATTATTTAAAATTTTTCGTTTAAATTTTGATCATCAGTTTGTAAAATTATGATTTATATTTGAAATTACACACGTGGCGTTATAAAACTACGGAGTGGTCGGTAATTTGGTTGGTCGC